ATCATAGCCATCTCCCTTTTCGACATAATTAACAATTTTCTTGGCAAGGTAATGTTCATGTTTATTTTGTTCGATATTTAATGGAATACATTAGTTAAGGTAAGGTTTGTATTGCATGTAAAATGTAACAATATAGGATTTGCCAAGAAAAAACCCGCAGATCTTATAAGATTTGCGGGCCTTTTATGTACGTACGTACGTACGTATGTACATACGCATTACTTATTCTTTTTTTTTTGTCCTTCAAGATTATTAATTTTATGTTTGTTTATTTTTTTTATTGCTTGCCCGTTAGCTATCTTCAAAAAATAAAAAGGTACCATTGATCGTTATACACAATTTTAAAGATGTATATGTCAAAAGAGACGAAAATCAATATGATGCTTCCATCAGAAAAACGATATAGTCTAAAAACTAATTTATACTTGGCAATTTTCGTAATAATATTTATAATGATATTTCCATCGTTTTATAACATTAATGATGATTATCCGCCTAATTCTATAGAAAAGAATTTTGAAATTGATATTAGCAATAACAATAATGGATTCAATGCATCAGGACATTATCAAATTCTACTTCTAATTACATCTCGGATGGAAGAATACCAACATCGTAAATTATTACGCAGTGTTTTGTTTGGTATAAATGATAATATAGAACCTTGTATGAAATATGACACGAATGTTTATTACAAGTTTTTAATTCCTCCATATGACGTTAATAAAAAAATGTACAGAAGTTTTGTTAGTGAAAATGTAGAATATAATGACATGGTTGAATTTCAACATTTACCGGATTTAAATCTGAATTATACTCAAGAAATTGTTCTTAAATGGGTAAATATATTAAGAATGCCGCCAAGAGAAACCCCGCTTTTCTCTTGGCGTTAATTGACTATATTTAATTTATTACGTTAACTTATTGTTATTTTATTTCTATTACTTGCAGACTCAGTCACTAAAACATTCTGGCATAACATTTGATTTTGCTGTACTTCTTGATAACAACTCAATCATAAACCTTTCAAAACTTAAAAGAATCATGTCCACCTTCAATATCTCTCCAATTCAACTTCAATATCTTATATGGGGTCGATTTGACAATTCATTTGCTGATGATATTTTTGTAATTCTTGGCAATAAAGCCATTCATACTATCCTAGCTAATAAAGACCTCATTAACAAGCCTGATGATCAAAACATAATCACTCATGCTTATTTATACACAAAAAGCAAACATAGATCTCTTTCAAATAATTGGGATAAACTACTTTTCTTTAATGATGATAAAAGATTTATCATCTTCCCTGAAAGATTAGATCTAATTCCTAAAAAATCAACCATAATGGTTAGAAAACTATCCTCAGAAGATGAGTTAATCAAAGTTTCTATTCACCTTTTAATTCCACCCACACCTGTTTGTCGTCCTCATGTTCCACTATATGGAGATCCATCAATAGCTATAGTAACAAGTTCTTATTTCTATGACAATATTAATAATTGTTCCCCATCAATGTTAGATGTAGCTTACATTTTATCAGAAAACAAACGAACCTATGCTCAAAAACATGGTTACACATTTATTCCAAGATCTTTAGAATTTCAATTACACCTAAATTTATGGGGGAAAATTGATGCGATAAAAAAAGTTTTACCTTATTATGATTGGATACTTTGGATTGATAATGATGCAATTATCACAAATCAAGAGATTTCTATTCTGGAACTTTTTACCCGATTTTACCAACTTATAAAAAATAAGGCTGAAAACGAAAAAATAATTGAAAATGAAAAGAAGATGGTTCATCAAAAAAGACTTGATGAAAGTGAATTTTCTCTCGATGATAGTGAAAGATATTACGATGAAGGAGGTCCGTTGGATTATGCTGACGATGATGATATAAATTATGGTTATGAAAGTTTATTTGATTATGATTTTGACGGGGATGAAGAGTATTACGATTATTTTAAAGAGGATGATTTTGATGATGATGATGATTATGATTATATTGAAGATGAAGATGAAGATGAAGATGAAAAAGGTTTCGTAAAACGGAAAAAAGTTGATGATGATGTGAAACTATTTGATGAGAGAATACATTTTATAATATCCAAATCTAAAAAAGATGCAACATTTAATACAGGGGCGTTTTTGATTAAGAATTCTGAATGGAGTTTTGAATTTTTGAAAAAAGTGCAAGAAATAGAAGTTTTGCACGATGATAAAAAGATTGAACAAGCATCCATGAGGCAACTTATTAATCAATATCCTAGTTTAAGAGATCATGTATGTTCAATTTATTTGACAATTAATCTAAAAAAAAAATTTATTAATCTTGCTAAAATTATTTTTTATTTTTTTATTAGATACTGTTGCTAGATCATGGTGACCATACATTAGAATCATTCCCTGATGTTTGGAAAAATGATGATTTTATTCTTCATTTTGCTTCTAATGATTGTAACGCTAAATTTATATTAGATTATTTTAAAAAAAATTAGAAAAGTTAATAAATTATAATATATACAGTCAACTTTTTCTATAACGAAATGAAGATTCTGGAAGAAAAAAAAGTTCGTTATAGGGAAATTACTATGCTTTCTTAAGAACCTATGCCACTTTTTATACCGAACTATTATGAAATTTTAAAATTTTTGAGTTCGTTATATCCAGAGTTCGTTATAGAAAGGTTGTTTAACGTTAATACAGTAATAACAACAAAATCGGGGCATGGTTCTGAAAAGTTATCGTTATATAATAATGACCCTGTAATATATGTAGCACAAACATAATCAATACAGTATTCTACGCCAACTACTCAATATTCTACATGCTTATATATATATCAATATATATGTTTTTGTACGTACGTACGTACGTACCTTTTTTGGAATCCTTTTTAAACCTTCTCATTTTCTGAAATGTAATCGTGAAGTGGAATCGATAATTTTAGGTAGCGTTCCCACAAAAAATTGCTCACCTCTGTAATTTTTTTTTACCAAGAATAAAACTGCATTGTACAGTAGTTTGGGTTAGGATTAAAATAAATCACGCTTAATAGTAAAATTTAGTGGAGAGTATTTTTAATTAGACCGCAGAAGGTGGTTTCTTAATTAAAATTTCGAGTTATTTTGTAAAAAAAGTGGGGTTTGCTTCGATTGTTTACGTTACACCTGATCTTGAAATTTGATTAGGCGCGTTGGAACGAATTGACAAAATATCACTGATTGGCTGTTTTCTTTTTATCACCGATGTTACAAAGTTTATTTTTATTTTATTATACTTTTCGAAGTAGTTAGAGTTAAAAATCATTGCATAATTTTTGCGTAATGGCTTTTCTTGTTTTCTAGCATTAATAAAAAGCCAACTTTTACCCTTCGATATGATATTCAATAATCGAATAAAAACAATACCTTTATTTAAACATACACTAAGCTCTTTGAATCATAACACCGGTACAAATACGAAAACCAATTAGACCAGATTATAGTTGTCGAATTGATGACATTCCAATCTTAAACTCAGAGATTAAACCATTGGGATACGATGAAAATTATTTAAAGGTTAGCATTAATTGAGGTTTGAAATCAGTTTTCGTGTTTTACAACTTTCTTTTCGCTTCGGGCTGGTCCGGGTAAATAAGTCTCGTTGTAAAAGGTTTTAACCTGTGAAATTTTTTAGAGCTTCTAATCCGTTATCCCAGAAGAAAAACTGTACGTGTCCAGATACAATTTGAAACTGTTGTTCCAGAAGAACAGCAATAAGTTTCCAAATATCATTGAAATTCGATTTTTAATTGCTTGATAAATATAATAAAGCAATTAATAACTACATCGGAGATCTAAACAAAATAATGACCATTATTTTAAGGCCAAATCATTTTCATCAAACTAGTTTTATTTTATAATAATAAATACTGTACGTATAATTGATACTGATTTATTTATTAAAAGTAAATCGCAGCCAAAGGAACTTAATATAGTTTTCTATAGTGATGCCTTTTTTCAAATTTCATGCGCGTGGAATTTTGGCCTGCATTATGTCAGCTTGCTGCTAATACGGGCCAGAATTATGAGATGCCGAAATATTCCGAAAATTTCGAAATATTCGACTGGGGTAAAATCGCCACCCCAAAAAGTTTCGAAAATCATGTGAATCATGATAATTAGAATATATATTTATAAAATATTAATTGATTTAGTAAGTGGTTTTTTTTTCTTCGATTCTTCAAAATGAAAAGCAACCGTTGCAACCTCGACAAATCAAGTGATTCTTTTCAAGGTATAAAATTCAATAAACACAATATTCTAAACATATACATCGATTTCTGCACCAGAAAACCTTGTAGATTTTATTTTTAATGGCTCTTACTGAAGACTATAACTATGATTATTTATTTGAGCAAAAAGGTTTATAATTCTGAATCCAGAACGCAACAAAAACAATTATTGAAGAAAACATAACAGATAATGAATCCAAATCGTAACAAATGGTTCGATAGTATTAATAAAAACTTGGAGCCATTACA